ATATATTCCCTTCCTGTATCCTGTTCTTGGTGCTGTTGATCTAGGATCCAATGGGAGTGTTTAAGCCTCTGTATCTAATAAATAAAATCTCAGGATTCAACTTTCTCTTGCCGTTGACAGTAGGACTGAACTGTTTTCCTTATGCTTAACCTTAGTATTTTCCATGTTACTGTGGGGAAATGTTTCTGGGGCAGAAACATCCTAGTTCCATCTCAGTGGTGGTGATTTTATGCTGTTTTCTTCTTCATAAAACCCTAATGTAATGTATCTTACCTTCATAAAACTTACATTCATTTATTCAGTAAACCTTCATTGAACATTCTATACTAGGCTCTGAGGATATAAAGATAAAAAGAAGTAATTCCTGCCCCCTGGGAACTCACAGTCTGGTCTGCAAAAAGACATACAAACAACATTTACTGTAATTAGGATCATCATTATGAAGTTCATACAAGATATTCTAGAATGTGGAGGAGGGAGTTCATAATTCTGCAGATAGCCTGTTTGGAAAAGTTCAGGAAAAGATTCACAAAAGGGATAATAGTTGTAATGAGATGAGTAAGAACCTTTACAGCTAAAGAATTGGGCAAAAGTATCCCAAGCAGAGGAATAGCAAGTGTAAATCATGAAAACTTGAGAGAGCATACTGTACTCACCAGTTTGTAAGTTTATATTCACTTGAGCATTTAACCCAAATAAGCTCCTTGAGACCAGAAACTTAAATCTGTTTCGGTCACCATTGTATCCTCAGTTTTTAGCACAATGCCTGGAACATAGTATTTAATTTAAAAAAATCTTTTTACAAACAGAATTATACAAATCCTCACAATGGTCCACATATTTTCTCTCACACAGTCTCCTTCTCACTCCACTTTGCAGCACCTGATGTACCTCGTTAGAAACCTAGACTCCAAAGAACACTGAAAGCCACTGCAGCAGAACATAATATATCAAGATTTTAGGAGTGGGTTTCTTTTTCACATTTATATTTTAGAACAACATGCATAATCAAAGCTAATAATACTCTGTTTTGTTTACTCTTTTATTTGCCTCTAAAAAACATCCACACATAGTGGTGAACTGATTTTTAACCAGTTTTAAATAGAAGGCATTGAAAAATATTTATAATTGTAATTACTAAAAGTATTTCTCTTTGCAATTCTCTTATCTGTGTTTCCAGACCGGTTGGAGGGTGACAGATCAGAAGGCTCTGGTCAAGAGAATGAAAATGAGGATGAGGAATAATAAACTCTTTTTGGCAAGCACTTAAATGTTCTGAAATTTGTATAAGACATTTATTATATTTTTTTCTTTACAGAGCTTTAGTGCAATTTTAAGGTTATGGTTTTTGGAGTTTTTCCCTTTTTTTGGGATAACCTAACATTGGTTTGGAATGATTGTGTGCATGAATTTGGGAGATTGTATAAAACAAAACTAGCAGAATGTTTTTAAAACTTTTGCCGTGTATGAGGAGTGCTAGAAAATGCAAAGTGCAATATTTTCCCTAACCTTCAGATGTGGGAGCTTGGATCAAAGTTGAAGAATAATCTTCATCATAGTGAAAATGTTGGTTCAAATAAATTTCTACACTTGCCATTTGCATGTTTATTGCTTTCTAATTAAAGAAATTGGTTGTTTTAAGATACCCTGAATTTGACTTTTTATTTAATGCCCTGCTCTCTCCTGCAGCATACGAGGACTATTTTTCTAAATTTTCTAGATTTAACAACTTTTTCCTTTTGTACTTATGTGGGATAAAATCATATAGAAGGACTTTCTTCATTTTTCTTTCCAAGATACAGCTGACCCTTGAACAACCCAGGGGTTAGTGGCACCAGCCCGTTCACAGGTGAAGATTGATGTATAACTGTTGATTCCCCAAAAACTTGACGAGTAACAGCCTGTTGATTGCAAGCCTTACTCATAACATGGTCAATTAACACATATTTTGTGTATTATATGTATTATATGCTATATTCTTACAATAAAGTAAGCTACAGAAAAGAAAGTTATTAAGAAAATCATAAGGAAGAGAAAATATATTTACTGTTCACTAAGTGGAAGTGGGTCATCATAAAGGTCCTCATGTTGAGTAGGCTGAAGAAGAGCGAGGCGTTGGTCTTGCTGTCTCAGGGATGGCAGAGGAAATCCACATGTGAGTAGCTCTATGTAATTCAAACCTGTGTTGTTCAAGGGTCAACTATACTTTATTTTTACCCCTAGTTGTCATCTCTCCTGACGAGTGGAACTTCATTATACAGATACAGGAGTTAGTCTTCAGGCAGAAATCACTGAGAGCATCATAGGTAACTCACATAGTAGTGTAAACTAGCCCTGAAGGAAATGGCTCTGGCCTACCTCTCACTCCAAATTTTAAATTTCACTGCAGGTTACTGGTCATCCAGTCTTCTAATTTCTGCTCTTTCTTAACTCTAGTATCCACCTCCATTCAAGTCATCTACGCCCAAGTCATCTACATATCCTGTAGGTTATGACCTGAAACTGCTCCTGCAGACCTAACCCTTCAGTCATCGTCCCTCACTTCTACTAAATTTTCATTCTGCTGGCATCTTCCCCTCAGTCTGTTCACATACTCATGACTCTTCAGTCCATTCACAAAATAAGTAAAATCTTTTTTCAACAACAAATTATTCTCTATATACTTTCTGATTTCTCTCCTCCTCTTGTCATCCAAATGAGCATAGTACACATCCATAGCTTCTCTTTGCTACTTTCTTGATATACAAAGCTGCCTCCAGAAGCCAGACCTGCCAGGTGGGAGTGAAGCAGTTAGTTTGCTGCCTCATAATATCTCGGAGGCAAAATCACAAGCATGGCAGTGTGTGTCGTGGTCCATGATTTCAAAGGCATGCTGACTGTCACACACACCCTCAAACACACGCTCGGCATTTGCTATTGTAGGTTTCTGGGATGGCACATCATTTCTCCCTTTTTGAGGGAAGTCTTTGAGCTTCCATTCAGCGGGCTGTTGGGAACTGTCTCAGTTGTGAAGACAGAGACTTACCCCAGCAACTTCTCCATGACCTGTAGTCCAGGCGCTATCTTCACTATACCTCCTTGCCAGCCAGCAGCTGAACAAGACATTGAATTACATGCCAGACTGATCATTGAGCCCATCTTGAAACAGCCATTCAGTGCTGATACAAAATTATAACACTGATACAAGAAAGAAAATGTTGGCGTTGTCAAGGTCAGAGCTGTGGATCATATGACAGCTTATCTATCACCATCAGCACCAGCCTTGAGCTCTAGCTTTTGATCACACTCTGGAAGCGGATATCATACCACTGGTGACTATACACAGTGGCTGAAAGAGGCCGGAGCGAATGCAAATCTGATGGTTTGCCATGGTCATCTCAAACCTGTCTGTTAATGCTTTTAGTGTTTGTGCTGTAACAGCTGCCCTTTTTTGTTGAAAGTAAATACATCTCTTATTGTTCAATTAGCAGATAGTTGAAAGGTTCCTATTACTTTCAGGAATCTAAATATCTTGGAGAGAAAGGACAAAGTCAGATACTGAGAGTAAGATACCTCTCTGGCTGAGCCACAACTGGTCTCAGACTAGTCAGTCAGTCGGTAGCCAAGCAGGGCACCCCTCCCATATGGAGAACAGGGATCTCTCCTCCGCAGCCAGAGACACCTGCTGCTGAGAAGATGGGTTAGCTTTTTGTATAGAGGAAAAATAACTGCAGTAGGTTATTAATAAGCTGAGTAGGTTCAACTGGACTTCAACATCCAGCTTGACAAAGCCACATATGTATCCACATTAGGAAACGTAAATGGTCAAGAAATCAGCTTTAGCCAACCAAGGTCACTTCATGACTTCTGGGAAGTACAAGGGTCTTAGTTTCTGGTTTTTCAGTTATGTACCTTGCTCAAGCCACCTGACTTCTCTGGGTTTGTTCCACCTCTAAAGCGGGGTTGGTCATAGGTTGCACTACCTATGTCACAGGGGCTATGTTAGGGCAAAATGAAGTCATAAGATTGATGGGCTGTTATACAGGGTAACTGAAAAGATGACTGTAAGCCATAAGACAGTAAGAGGGATGTGCTATAGCTGGGTGCTGGGAAATTGACAGGACAGTGGATAATGGAGGACTCAATGGGGGAAGGAGTAACCGTCATAAAAATGGTATTCATCTGCTCTGGTGCAGGATGTTGATGGGGGAGGGAGGGGCTATGGGAACTCTGTACTCTTTGCTCAGTTTTGCTGTGAATCTAAAACTGCTCTAAAAAAAAATTATTTTTTAAAAAAGTATTTGTTAAATGAACTGGGTCCTCCACCCACAGTGATTTTGCAGAGTTTTGGAGGTGCACATTGCTCAGAAGCAGGACAAGCCAGACAAGCTGTCAGGAGGCACAAAGAGAGAAACATCTACAGAGGCAGAATTCACAAGTGCTGACTGCTTCCAAGATTGGGTGTGTGTCAGAGGACCCCAGAAAGCTCACAGACTGGACCTGAGGACCACCATTGGCTCAGATAAAGGAAATTTCAGTGGTGGCAGGTGAGGGGATCAGGAAAAGGTGGGTTTCATGCCCTGAGGTGGTTCTGAGTCTCAGTGGTAATGATAATCTGCCTCTTGCCCTCTTCGACTTTGATTATGGGATAGAGAATATATCTGTAGATGAGCGGAGAGATAGGGCATAGCTCCTTTAAAAACCTTGGGTTAAGAGTACTTCTTGGGCATGGTGAGAAGTAGGTCATTTAAACAGTGCTCTGAATATAATTGCCTTGGAGGAACTGATGAAAAATGCATGGATGAGTATTTCCAGGTGACTGGTGTGGGCACTTCCCCACCAATTCTGCAGCAATCCACCCCTTTCTGCTCAGTCTCCCTCGTTTTAGCCCATGGGAAGGGAGGTTAGCAGGAGGTATATGGCTGCCTATTGCCAATGGCAATGGAAGAAAATGGGAGAAAGGTAAAGGCACTCAACAAAGTCCACAGACCACAAGTACAAATTCACCATTCCCACAGCTATACACATAGCAAAAACATATTTAATCAGGTCAACAATTCTAAATACACTTTTGCTTGTTTATAAATATTGATTTATAATAATCCTAAACATTTTTTAATCTTAACAAAATCCAAAGACTTCAAGTTAAATATATTTCAGGATTAGCTTGGGTTTTTTGTTTTCTGCATCCAGGGGTCCATTATCAGAACACAGCACGGTACTCCGTCCCTTAAGCATGCAGTTTCCTCCTGCTCTCAGTGTGGCCTTGTCTGCCGGGGCCTGTGATCCTCCCTAGACTGTCTTTTCCTCTGGGAGGGATGACTCACCTGTGATTTGTGGTATTTCAAACTAGTGAAAGAATGAAAAACAAAAGTGGCATTTGATTCTTAAGCTATTAATGTTTTCCAGGAAAATGCTTGCTGAGGGAAATGAACACAGCTTTGTCTATATGTTCTCCTAAAAACAACATTGACCAAAATTGTGCTTTTTATAATCTTGTGCAGATTTGAGTTTGTGCTTTGATATTTTCAAAGGAACCTTCAATGTACTGGAAATACTACGGAATCCAAAGTATTTGTTAGATACTTTCCAGTGAGTCCAGTCACTTTCCTTGGGCTTTCAGTATTTTTTAGGTCTGGCCAGCAGATATTAATATCTCCCATGATCCTTGGTTTACAATAGTTCTACCTACTTAATAAAGCCCTGCTGGCCTGTTCTATGATACTGATGACTCTCAACTATCCCTCATCTTCCTTGACCGGTAAGACTGGCTCCTTGCTTTTCTCAGCCATTTGGCCAATACCTGGAGTTTGGCTCTGACTCTGGCTTGAGACCTCAGACAATTTCCTTGGATTCTGTGTCCCCTCTCCCAACCCACAAGAACAATATGGCTCTGCTCCTTCTTGCAGGCATATATGGCTGATCACAACCATTCTCCTTTGCCTAGGGTGAAGATGGTGATTTCCTCTCTCTCTCCCACAGGCTCCATCTGGGGTGCTGCATATATTGTGAGTAGCATCCCTGCCTTGCCTCTTAGGGGCCTGGAGGATTAGGGATTCTGTGAACCCAAGAGCCACAGCCAGGCATTCACTCTGTCACTACAGAACAGAGCTGTCCTCAGCAGCCAAGGGCATTTCTCAGGGAGAATGTCCCTTCTGGACTGTAAGGAAGGTCAAGCTGTATTTGTGCTATGATTTGGAAGGCTACACCAGGCCCTGGGGGTTTGATCATCTTTGATAGTCATTCAGGACAAATTAGAATTATTTTATTTTTGTATAAACAGGCCAGTGGCATAGACATTTTTAATAGAAAATCTCATTTCGGCTCCCTTAGACCTTTCAGGTTCCAGATGCTACTTAGTCTTTCCTCTCTCCTCTCTATTGCCTTCTCTTCCTCACCACATCCCTGCTTCCCCAAAAGTCCTTCCTTGCTGTGCAACAAATAGGATAATTCCCATGGCAACAACTTTTAACACCTTCCATTTGGGTAACAGTTGTCTTTTCAAGATTCTCACTGCGTTATAGAGATCCCTGTAAAACAAGAATACACCCTCTGCACGGAGACACTGTGAAGAAACACCAGTGGCCCAGCTTCAGCTGCACCCCAGGCATTGTGCTGCAGGCTTTCCAAGTATTTCCCCATAGAATCCAGACAATCACCCTGCGATGGAGGCCTCCCTCAATTCTGTGTGTCTCCGCACAGAAACAGATGACGAAACTTCAAAGATGAGGAAACTCAAGCAGAAATACTACGTGACTTGCTTGAAAACACCCAGGTAATAAGTGGAAGTACAGGATCTGAACTCACAACTTAACCATACCTGTCTTCACCATCCCCACTATGTCACATCTGCACTGCAGTGAAATGAGAGAAAGCATTTGGAAGTACCTAACACAGCACCTAGCACATCACAGGCACTCAAATGTCAAACAGGTCCGGCCCACAGTAGGCACTCACATGCCAGCTCACTGCCCCCTCTTTATAGCCACACCATCCTCAGAGTTCCTTGCAGACAGGACACAGCCAGTGCTCAAGCCTGAACATGTGTCGTGAGTGTATATCTTGTGGTTTATCCAGAGACATGTCTAATTTGCAGGTATCTAAGTGGCATATTGTCAGGATGGAAAAATACATAGGTAAATCTGAACAGACTAATAATCTGTCATTTATCAAAGCACATTTCCTCCCTCTCCTGTCTCAACCCAAATTCCTTAGCCTGTCTATTGCAAATATTTAGTCTCACTGGTTGCTCACTTGTTTACAGAAAGACCACGTAGTAGCTCCCCAAATGAGAATCAAGGAACACGGGCACCAGATGGCCCTTGTCTTGCACTCCTCAACTCTGCTTCTCCAGGAGCAGTGATCTATCTAACATCACTCAGTGGCAAGACCTGTGAACCTGGATGGGGTCATGCATGTAAGCAGGCTAGCCAGGTGGTCCTTGGTCACCAAGGCCCTGGACTACACGATGAGGGCAAAGGAATTCAAAACGAGCGCTCAGCCAGAGGCAAAAAAGCGCTCAGGTTCATCCTTAGCTCTGCACAGCCACGCCGCTGCCACCTAGTGTCTAAGGGCCTGAACTTCACTCTTGGTGCCTCTGGCCGGGGAAATGGCTGTGCTGAGCTGTGCGTGTGCTCTGTAATGTGGGACTCCCAATGCCTTCTGGGTCAAAACCACCCCAAATGTGATATCTGTGGCATAGCACAGGGACCCAGTAAGGCAGAAATCTCAGTGAAAGAAGCAGAGATGGGCAGCAGTTCTAAATGTGGTCATGTCAAAACCACAAGACACAGGACTGAGGTGTTGAAGCTAGTAAGTAGCAAAATGTTTCATGTGCTGCTGTCCACGTGGTCCCATCAGGAAGGCTGCAGGTCACTGCACAGCAGTTTACAGCTAATGAGCCAGGGTTTAGTGGGGGTACATGGGGCTTTGACCTTCTGCACTAATGGCAGATATCCTCAAAAATGCCTCTTGGGAACTTCAGAATGTGTGAAAATTCTTTCCTTCTCCCCCACCCACCCCTTCTCTCTCTCTCTCTAGCTGAATAAAGGCAAATTTGAATTCCTGAATATGAAAAATATGATTCTAGCTGCCAAACATCCTCCAAGACTTAGCTCAAACTGTCACCTACCTCACGGAGCCATCCCTAATTCCACAGTTGGAAATATCTACCTCCCTCTGAAACCGCACTTCTTTCTATAAGCACTACTTGACTTCTTTGCTAGTTATTAGAATCAGTATCCTCCAGGTCCTGCTCCCTAAATGAGAGTGCACACTTCAGTGGTTTTGCCTACAGCGCCTAGCCAGGTGCTTTGCACAAAGTGGATGTGCAGTGTCTGGTAGGTAACTAAATGAATTGGACCTCAGTAAAATATATTTTAAAAAGGGAAATACAGTGAATCCTTTTGTGAAATACAATATTTCTAGATTCATTTAGATTAAATTCTGTTATATCCCAGCTAGTGTGGGGTCAGTGGGGGAGTGGGAGGCGGTCTGAGGGTTCTTTCCCTGGAGCCCAATCTAGTACAGTCAGGGGAGCTTTATCCCATCCTTGGGTTTCAAAGCCAAGTGGCTGCACTCAAGTATGCCTATACCTAACCAGCAACCCATCCTAGAGATAAAGGTCTCTCTGCCCTGTTCCACCTCTGTGTACACTAGCTGATCAGGAATATGGTCCCTTCAGAAACTAGACAAGTGCCAGAAAAAATACATACAGAGAATATATATGGAAAACGTGAACTACAAGCAGACTTAGCAATGCCATTCAGTAATGGAAGCGGAGTGTCTGACCTGCACAGGTGAACCTGCCCTCTGCACCTTCCCACTCCCTTCCAGAAGCTAGGCCAGTGCCTGGCACCCAGGTGACCCGGAATAGTTGTTGAGTTCAGTCATCACAGGTAGCAAGACTCCAGGCCTCATGAAAGGTCATTGATTAAACTGCAGACCAGGGGACCAGCTAACCACTGGTTTCTGCCACACAACACAGAGACACTACCTCACCAGGAGCTAGCTAGGCCCCAAAGAAAGCAACACAAGGGTAATTTAATTCACTTTCTAGAATAGCTACCTCTTAGCAGCCACCAAGATCTCCTTGGAATCTACCTTCTGCCAACCAAAGCAGAGAAGTCCTGAACTTATTTATTCACGCAGGCTGAAGGGCAGACGCAAGAGGAGATCCAGCGGCTTCCCCAGGCATCATAGCAATGACTCCAGGACCAAACGTCAACTGCTGTTCCAACTCAAAGGGAGGAGAAGAGAGGTCTAACCATCCCAATCACATGCCTGTGCTTCCCCTTCTGAGGTGGTGACCCTGCCCCTCACGCATCTTGGTGGCTGGCATTCTATCCAGACTGTGCTCTAATGGGCAAGGCAGACAAGGCCACAGAACCCCGATCTGGTCGCACTTCACATGTACATGAGCAACCACATTCCAGAGTTAAACAGAGGTCAGTCTGTGGCTCTGCTTTTGTGTTTTTTCTATCTCTGCTTTACAAATCCAGACAACATTAAAAATGAGAGCTGGAAATGATCTTGGAGACCAAACCAACTCCCCCGTCCTTTTTCCCACTTTATAGAGAACCTAGAAACGTGACAGGATGTCCCAAATGACAAGCGTACACGAAGACAGTGATGGGCCAAGAACCCGGGTTTCCTGGCTCTGAGTCCAAGGCTTCTATCTTCTTTTACGCCAGGCTTGTAATAATAGTAACTGTTGCTTTCGGGAGTGTGCCCTGCGGAACCGAAGACAGCTGTATTTTCATCAGTCACTCACACATCACACATAGAGTCTAATTAGGCTTTCCCATGTAAACAAGTAACAGTTTCTCTATTTCCTGGCTGTGCTTTTCACTAGTCCCATGCAGTCCTGGTAAAACAGTTGTGCGTCTTAAATGGATTTATTTTTAATTCTAGAAACGAAACACCTAGTGTCTGCCATTCCTCCTGTCTTTTATAGTGGTTTCTCCCTTTTGAAATACAAAAGAACTTGTCAGTAGGGCAGTGGGCAGGGTGGGCCCGTCCTCAAGAGGCCTGTGGCTGCCCCTACTAGCACCAGCAGGTGGCGCCGCTGAGGCTGCTCTGAAGCGCTCTGCTCCTGGGTGCTCTCTCTGCGGACCAGTTAGTCGAGAACTCAGGGTCCCACACTGCCCGCATCAACCATGCAGAAGCACCAGGATGGTCGCGTGTCATTAGGAAGTAGTGTTGTGCCATCCTCCACAGTACACTGAGAGGGTTCTCCTCCTGAGGGCTCTGGCACAGTGCACGGCTGGACTCCCAGCACACAGGTGTGAAGAGGAGAAAATGATGCATGTGGGGATCTCCTTCCAAGCCCTTCATCTCTGGTCCTCCCGTGGCCCACCTCCCAAAAAGCCACGGCCACATCTCTATATGTGGTTGGTTTGTTTGATTTTTGGGTTTTTTGTGTGTGTGTTTTTTTTTTGCTTTAGATGTTCTGGTCCCATCACTGGGACCTAAAAGAAGCTCACATGTGGTCTCTGGAAACGCTGAAGCATAGACGGTAGACATTATTTTCAGCCCTTGTCCTGGTGGCTGCACACCAGATATTGCTCCTTCCCTGTGTGTGGCCAGCTGTACACAGTGACGTGCTCCCAAGGCCACGGCACAGACGGTGATGGGAACTCCTCCTCAGGCCGGCCTCCCGGGCTGCAGCCCCAAGGCACCCCAGGGCTTCATCTCTGCTCAGCGGCTAAAACATCCCCTTCTTCGATGCTCTGCAGCTGCAGCCTCTGACTCGCAAGAGTTCTGCTGCCTCGGCGGCCCCCAAAGCCAGCCCCTGGGACAGTCCGTGCTGTGAGCAAGACCCCTGGCAAAGCCTCCTCCCCAAATAAGTTGATTTTGGCTTCGGCCTCAATGGCTTTGGCCAAACTGGTTGCATAACTGTCCAGTGACTTGTGTACCTCAGCTTTCACATGAAGAATCGAGTTCTTGGCAGTTTCTGAGGGAGAAGGAAGAAAAAAAAGTCAGCTGAGGAGGCAGGCCTGGGGACTACCTTAGGGACAAGCCTGCTGCTGCTCCTCCACCCCCAGGGAGGGAGGCAAACCACAGGTGAGGGCGTGGGTTTCAAAGTTCAATTCCTAGGCCAAAAGCTTTGACTCCCTGACTTCCTACCTGGGCAACCTTGGAAAAAATATTTAATCTAGCCTCAGTTTCCTCATCTGTAAAGAGAAGATAATAAGACAGCTCTTGCTCCGTAGGGTTACTGTGATTACTAACGGAGATAATTCCAACATGTTTGGCCTAGGTCTGGCCCATGGTAGACTTGATAAATACTTTCTACTAATGCTAAGCAACATTTTCACATCTTTGAAAGCATATTCTGGCCTTTGAGCTCCCTGAAGCAGTGTAATATCTATGTCCATAGGCTTCCACAAGCCTTAATGTCATCTTTCGTCTCCATCTTTGCTCAGAGATTCCCCATGTAGAACCTCAAAGTTGGACGTGACATTACAGGTTCAAGTCCCCTCCCAGGATTAGGAGCCCTGAAACTAACATGAACAGAAGGGAGACAGGGAGGGCCCTCCAATTTCACAACCTGTGCCCTGTTATTATTAACTCACTGCCTATTTCCTCTGGACATTTTGGCGGAATAATGTATCCTCTCCTCTTTACATTTTCTGGAGAGTAGGCAACCTGTACCCCACTTTTCAAGAGGGAAAGTTGGAGGGACCTCCAGCCGCTCTCTGCCCTCCCACTCACTCGTGGCAGGAGTCCCTGCTGGGAGGGTGCTATTCAAGCTGCCACCCCCACAAAGCAGGAGTGATGAGCAAGTGTGGCCCTACCTGGGCTGGGGATTGGGGTGTGTTCAGTTCATTTGTTCCTATAGAAGGGCAATATATTACAAAGCCCATGAGGCTGCTGGCCCAAGCTCTGTTCGAGAATCTGCTTTGCCAGTGAAGCGAATGATCTATTATCCACTGTTGACCTCTGTGACGATCTCTCCATCATTCTGAACTCAGGGAGGGGTAGGGTTGTGGAGAAGAGATGGGATTAATCATGAACCTAAAACTCAGACAGAGCCCCTATTTATTTCCATTTTCAACATTTCTGAAGAGCCTCCTGATGTACAGCCCCTGGCCTCCACCACATCCACAGCCAGTCATGCTGGCGTCTGGATGGCTCTTGTCACTCTCCTAATCAGCATGTATGGATGGAAAACGAATTCCAAGTTCCAGAGTAAACAACAGTGCTGGGGGTGAGTGGGGAAAAGATGGGAGGGAAATGTACAGACTGGGCTGCAGCAGAGCTCATTCTCACAGGACCCAAGGGCCATCACCGCCCTAAGGGCAACGGACAAGGAAGATGGCAGCTTCGGCCTCCAGGAAAGCAGGTAGACTCACTGGGCCATTACCTCATTTTCCACAGGAGGGAACTGAGGCTCAGGGAAAGCAGGTTCACTTATAGCCACACCTTAGCCAGGATCTGGGCTGTGTGTGAACATGTGTGGGGTATGTGTGTGTAGCCTGACAGCCATCGTGTGCCCAGCCTTTCATGCTGCTTGCTCTGAGAGCTGGGTGCCTAAGGACTCAGGTGAGATGAGCAGGGCTGGGAGTAACCAGGCAGTGGGCAAAGGGACAGAGCCCTGGTATGTTCCATGCTGGGAGCCAGTGACAACCAAGGAATTGTCCTTAGATCCTTTTGGTTTTCCTCTGTTTTCTTGAAGCAATCAGTCACAGAAACCAACCTTTGATTTGTTCCACTTCATCCTCAAATGTCACTGAGCTCCTTCTCTTGGGTGGGCAAGTGCAGTGAGAGGGAGGGCTGTCCTCAGACGTGTAGTCCTCAAGCAGCATCACATCTGTCCCTAGAACAACAGGCAGACTGTGCATGTATAACTACAGTCCAAAGTCCTCCTGGCCTCTGCCCCCCTCTCAGCACCCCTTCCTCCCCTTTCTCCTGTTCATCCAAACCCATAATCAAGCGCTGCTGATTACCCCACAGCATTTACCCAAGAAACGCCCACCCGCCATCCTATTGCAGGGAGTTTGCAGACAGCCAGTGAGGCTGCTTCAACCACGCAAAAAAAATGCAGCCAACTTATGTGAGGTAGGGGGCTATGTGCCACAGTGACCAGACCCAGAAGCGTGGCATCCGGCATGGAAGGGACATGGGGAGAAGGGCGGAGTCAAGGAGAGGGTCCTCTTAAAAGGAAGTTTATATTCTGAGTGATTCTTCTTACAGTCTGAATTTCTATCACCATAGTTAAAATATGGTGTACTAAATAAACATTTAAAGCTCCAAAATGTAGAGTTCTTTGGGGATGAAAAAACAATTGACAAATATACCCCTAAAAAGTGGGGAAACAAAGGCAGAAGGTCAGGGAAATCCTCCTAGAGATAGGTGGGCAGAGCAGGCAGAGGGAAGAAGATGGGGCAGAGGGAAGGAAGGGCTGAGGTGGGACTAATCACTCAACAGTGCCCTGCCCAGACCCCAGGACCAGTGTCAGATCCAGCCCTGTTCTTAGCTTCCAGCTTTCAATCCATCAAGGCCTTGAAGCTCAGAAAATGAGGAAGAAAGGGAAGCCTGGAGCTCTTCAGATGCTGTTTCAGAGCACCTCGCAGAGGTATGATTACCCGACACACAGAAGAAACAGCCCCTTGGGAGGTAGAACACGGTGGTTAAACACACAGGCTGGGGTCGGACAGGCCTAGGATCAATGGCAGGTTATTTAATGCTTCAGGATCTTTCCACGTCTGTAAACCAGGGGTCATCAGACAATCTACCTCCTGGAGTTGTGGGGATTTTGAGTTGAGACATGTAACCATCTAGCACAGTGCTTGCACACAGCAGGGGCTAAATCGATGGCCGTCATTCCTGATACAGACACAGTGAACAAAGGGCAGGGCTGAGACTCACACCAGGTCTGTGGGCCCCGAAGCCCATGTTCGCTCTCTCTCACTCTTTCGCTCACTCGCACTCTTCTTCCTTCCTTCCTTCCTTCATTCCTCCCTCCCTCCCTCCCTCTCTCTCTCTCTTTCTTGAGTTTCACTCTTGTTGCCTAGGCTGGAATGTAATGGCACAATCTCGGCTTACTACAACCTCTGCCTCCTGGGTTTAAGCAATTCTCCTGCCTCAGCCTCCTGGGTAGCTGAGATTACAGGCAGGCACCACTAATAATTTTGTATTTTCAATAGAGGCGGGGTTTCACCATGTTGGTCAGGCTAGTCTTGAACTCCTGACCTCAGGTGATCCAACCACCTCAGCCTCCCAAAGTGCTGTGATTACAGGCTTGAGCCACTGCTCCTGGCCCATGCTCTTTCTTCTGCCTACAATGCCATCCCCTCACTCCCTGCCCCGGGGCACCTCCCACTTTTGCTTCAGCTTTCAACACGGCCTGCTCAGAGCAACCTCTCTAACTTCCCTACCCATAGCACCCACAGGTTCCCACACCGCTCTGGCTTCCCCTTTCACAGCTCTCTACACGTTCGTTGTCTTTCAAAAATTGTTTTATAGAGATGTAATTCGCACGCCATGTAACTGACTCATTTAAAGTACACCATTCAACAAGAATTGTATGGTATACTTTACAATCTTTATATACTTTACAGTTCAGTCTTTTATGAACTGAATTCTCCACAACAGTGGCAGTTCACCACTGTGCCCCCAGCACCTGGCACAGGGTCTGGCCAAGGCAGGGACATGGCAACTGTGTGCTGAATGAATGAATGTCACAGTGCCTCTGGATCCCTTTAGTTGTCCGGGAATGGGGAAACGGCCTGGGTAGTGACAGAGACTTTCCTCCCCAACCTCCCCACGTCCCTCACCTCCTCTCCCCCACCTCCCCACCTTCCC